TATCTGTGCTCTTTTCCACATGGTGTGACGTGTGTAGATAGATAATATGATTGGATTGCCGCTAAAGTGATTGATTGTTTGTGTTTTTCTTTTTTTTCTCTCATTAATAATTAAAGTGCATAATTATTCTCTTTGTTATTTGTCAAATTAGACATGTTTGTCACACTTAAAGTGCTTGGGTTTAACATGCTTGTCAGGTCCAAACGCTTGGGTTATGCCAAACCAAGGCAAATGTTTAGCATGGTTACTAGTTGCTAGGCCTAAGTGCTTGATTAAAAAATATTTAAAAATAACAGTGCAAAAGTGAACCTTAATCTATATTTTAAATTTTTAAGGATTAATTTATTAGGTTTACTGAGAAAGAGAATAAGGGAATAAGTTATACTTAATACTCTCAAAAACATATTTTATTGTTTAAGCATAGTTATCAGACCTAACCTGACTTAGTAGTTCAACCCGAGACTCGGGTGACCTAGTAGAACCTAGTAAAAACTTTCTTTTTCAAATATATATTTTTTTTTGCTAGAGACCTCTCTGTTTTTAATCTTTTTTAGTTGGTTATAAATCCATATCAAAGTTCACTATATAAATAATAATAAAATTTTTTTATTTTTTCAATGTAAGATTTGAAACCCATTAATATATATATTTTATGTTCACAAGTAAAAAAATTATGTTATTTTAATATAGAATAAATTTTTTTAAAAAATATTTCAACTTAATAAAATAAGATAATATCTTTTCAATGTGCAATAAAAAATCTTTTGAAATAATCTTTTAGCTTATATCTATATAGATTGTTTCTTAACTTTTTCATACGAAATATTAAAATCTCAAATATTTTTTTTTAATTTTCTTGGCTTAAATCAAACCGTTTGGGTCTAGCAACCACAAGCAAGTGTGCTGTGGATCAAAATGTAGTTCACTATAGATTTACATGATGAATTTTCCAAGCTCTAAAGGCTTAACATAGGGCTAAAGTTATCTTTTCGTTTTTATTGAAAAAATTAAAACCTTTGTTTTAGGTGATATTTTAATATTTTTTATAGGCTTATTAGTTATTAAACGTTTCAGCGGATATATGATAGTCTTTTCATACTTATTTACATAGTTAAAATATTATTCTATACTCTAAAATTAACAAAATTAAAACTTGTTGTTTAGGAATTTTTTGACCTTTCACAAACTTTTTAATACATCTTTAGCATTAGAAAAGATTAAAAAAAAGGTTTTATATATGAGAGTATTTTTGTTCTTTTATACTTTTTTGTGTAATTTTCTATAATTATAGGGGATATTATGATATTTTAATATTTTTTTTTATTTTTAAATTTAAAAAGTTATACTAAATCTATATTTATTTGAATATAACAAATAAACAAGACTTAAATTACTTGAATATCATATTCAAATAATAACTTGGATCAAGCGTTAGAAATTTGACAAACATATGAAACGCTGATAAACCCAATTTATTTGGGTTTGGTATGGCTATAGGTACTTTAAATATTTTTTATATATATTTTTGAAAAATTATATTTATACGCTGTGAAGGATCGCTTATATTCTAGTGATATTGAAAACACGTTACTAGTTCACTACTGCCAATGTCTCGCCAGAAAAAAAAAAAAAAAAAAGAATCAAAGCCCACATTTACTCGAAAGCAAGTTTCCATACATTTTTTCTTTTGGGTATAAAATAAATAGACTGGAGTTGCATTCAAATGATTTTGTCTAGCAGAGGAGCTTTATTCTTGCTCATAATTGAAAATTGTGAGGCAAAGACAAAACCATTTGTCCATAAAGGCATATATATATCATTTTCAATCTCAGCCATTGACTAAGTGGTAGGACCATTGAATGATGCATATAGCTTTAAAAAGGTCACTTACAACAATTTGAACGGCAATTTTGTTCTGGGATGTCCCATTTGAGCTGCAATTATTTGGTGCATGCACTAGCATGTCTTAATTCTCTTCGGATCAATAATGTGGATCAATAATGTAGAAGACAGAACTCTAGCAGGGAAAAGAACTAGGCAATTCTCATTAGGTTGTTGGAATTAAAGGAACATGCATTATCTTCTAGCCCATGATGAAGTAACATGGCAGGAGAGGGTCCTTGCAAAGCAAAATTATGCTTCTGATATAGCACTGCGAGAGAGCTCCATCGGTGGGGTGTTCAAAGTTGACTTGTAAACAGCAAAATGCCTAGACTCTAGAGTGCCTGTTCTCTTGGAGCCCAGCTAGTAATTAAGAGACCCTGTTCTGTACTTGAAATTTGCTGGAGTTTAAAATGTGCTATGCTACCTCTGCCTCCATTAACATGGAGGCGTGGAGCATCTTCAGCTCGCATGGTGTTTTGAAGTAAGCAGCCGTTTAGAGCCCAAATTAGAAAAAAGAAAACCACACAGGTAAATGCATTAATCCCTCCCAGCAACAAAGATCCTCTTGCAAACTTCGCAGGTAATTGCTTTAGTCTTTCTTTCTCAGTCACTCACTACACAGAATTATATTTTGCAAGATATCAAATCATGCTCAAGGTGACAAGGTCTATCCAATTAACACCCAATCTCTCTTTAAGCTCCTTCTTTTCAGTTTAATTTCCTTTCAAGCAGTGAAATCACAAGAACCCTCAATTGTTCCGTTTCTTTCTTTCCTGGATGTTTTCTTTTCAGGATCTGCAGGCGAGGAAGCAGGTTGGGCTGGGCAGAGAGCATAATGGGCTATATTTCTTGGGAGTGAGTTTGCATTGCACACTCCGCAACCTCAATCACATTGAAGTTGATTTGGGGCACTTGCACTATTTAAAAAACTAATATATAAACTAAACTAAAATAGAATGGTGTCTCATCGTTTACCTACTCCGTTCACTTGCACTAATTGGGAGTCGTCTTTGTTTGTATTTTAGTTTTTTACTTGACTGGTGCCCGCGCTAAGCTGTGCTGTGAGTCTTTATTATTTTTTAAGTAAAATGTTTAAAAGTTCAAAGTGTATTTTGAAACAAAAATCTAATAACTGGTATTATAGTTCCAACCAACTAACTAAGATGATTTTATTTAAATTATATAAAGAAAATAACAATAGCAAATAGGAAAACATATATATAAAAAAAGTGATCACAATAACATTGAAAAAACACCTTTATATAAGAGCAAAAAATAATATTATTTATTTTTTAGTTAATTAAAGATGGAATGATGAAATATAATAAAAAAAAATAAAAAAATTAGAGTGTGCCAACTCGAGCTAGCATGGTAAACAAGTAATTTAAACATTAAGGGATGAATAAGTTTGAATTAACCTGAGAAACATGTGTCTTAAGTTATTAGATCAAAATAATACAATAAAAAAATTAAAAAAATCATAAAACCTTTTAAAAAATAAAAATAATGTCAAAAGACGATATCAGAAAAGAAAACAAGACAAATAAATCAACTTGAATTGAAAGGCGAAATTAAAAATAATAAAACTCTTACAAAAGGATTAAGGGAAACATTAAAAAAAATCATAAAAATAATGATCAAAATGAAAACACTAATATATGATAAAAAATTAAGTAAAATTTTTCAACTTGTTCTTTACATAAAAAAATAATAAATATAAATTAAAAAATGGAAAGATTAAAAAAAATCATAAAAATAATAATCAAAATGAAAACACCAATATATGATAAAAAAATTAAGTAAAATTTTTCAACTTATTCTTTACATAAAAAAGTAATAAATATAAATTAAAAAATTTATGCACATGTCGAATTAAATGAATAAAGAACCAATATGTTAATAAATAAGTAAAAAGTCATTAACAATGAATAAAAACATAATTAAAAAAATTAAAAAATAAATATAAACCAATATGTTTAATATCGCAACATAAATTATTTATTTGATTGTGTTTAATGAATTTCTTTATTAAAATTAATTTTTAATAGCTAATATGTTTAATATCGCAACATAAGTTATTTATCTAATTGTGTTTAATAAATTTCTTTATTAAAATTAATTTTTAATAGAAATGATACACACATAAAATAAAATGAAAGAAAAGGAATATTATACAAGATTGAACATATTAAAAATATTATAAAAAATAAATATTTAATATATATATATATAAATCACAAATGAATCATATTAATCTTTTAAAAAATTAAACACTCTTGATATAATACAAAATTAATCAATATTTAAAAAATGTTAAATAAACCAAAAAGATAATAGAGAATGGGTATTAATCAAAGCATAAATTTAAAAATTATTTTTAAAAAATAAATAAATAAATAAAAATAAAAATAAAAATAAATAAATCATCAGGCAATTTTGGGCTAGATATACTAGGTCAAGCATCTAGTGTAGCAAAAACAAGTCCACACATGGGCTTTTAATTATTTTTATTTAGTTAATAAAATGATAATATATTGTCCGTTCTAATTATTTGAATAAAAAAAGATATGTGTTATTTGAAGCTTCCTAGAATCCAATAGTTGGTTTGATAGAAATATAGGGTTGTTGTTTTATGCATAAAAAACCTATTTTTAACTAATTTTTAATTTAAAACATCTGAAAAGTACTAGTAATCTTATTAAACCAATTAAACTTGAACTCAAGCCAATTAATGGCCTAAAAAAACCCTAAAAGTCAATCACAAGCCGGCCGTCACCTAGCTGTCCACTGCCTCTGGAAAAAAGGTACTGCCATGGGGAAGGCCAGTACCTCTAGCACCCCTCCAACGTCTGAATTCGAATTACCAAAATTCATGACGTAGAAAACACGTGTCTGGAGATGTGAATTCGTGATCTAGTGGTTACGTATTCACATGCAAGAAAAATAAATCTTAAAAAACTAAAAAAGAAAAATTATCTAAATTAAAGTACTAGAATAAACCCTCACTCCATTAATATGTTGCTAAATATCCATGTATTTTTAGGAAAATAATTTTTTTAAATAAAAAATCCTCAAGTTAAAAGGGGATGAATAATAAAATTTGTATTGTACCTCCAAAATTTTCATCTTGGTTTGCTTGCAAAGTTCCTGCAAGAATTAAATTTCCAAGGATATTTAAAATCAGCAAATTCCAATCAAGCTGCAAACTAGCTAGTTACTACAGAAATAACTAAACTTAATCTGAGGAGTCGAGTAATTAGTAGATAAAATTTTGGAGGCAACGACTGCGTTGGCAGCTTCTGTGTAGTGAACTCCATCCCAACTTATGAACTTTGATCCTCTCTCGCACACGCTGTAACCAGGTCGGCTGCAGGTAATAATAGGATTATAGTTGTATGGTGGACCGCCATAACCGCAGCATGCCATCAATGAATTCTCAAAACCTGTTGATTTTAAACGTTTGTCAGCTCGAGGTGACATTCGCAATCTGCGCGATCCACACACAGCTAAATATGTATTTTCTTCAACAATGAAACTAACACAAAGATCCTAAATTTGCTTGATGAACTTCATACAATTTGGGAACGAGACCATACCGTATGTAGTAGCATTCGCAATGAGGTCATACTTGATGGAGTACATATCCACGTACACGATGGTGCTATTCTTCAACTCAGATCTAAGTTCTTCACATAGGACGCGCAACTGGTCATTAAACTGCTTTGCTGCATCATTAAGAGCCTTGAGGCATCCATACTGATCAAAATCACTGCTCCTTTTGTCGAAGGTAGCAAGTTTTTGTGGCAGGCAACCCAGAGGTCCCGTATTGTGTATCCAGAAGTTCCTTCCACCATGTTGATATATATTCTACATTCGAAGTCAATTCTCCATGAAAAACACTTCAAAGGGCTAAATATCAAATTTTGTATTGCTAGTGAAAAGTGAAGAATCACCTGCATAGCATAGTTGATTTCTTTTATGAAAGATGATATGTTTTTTATGACTTGTTCGTATGAAAGGTATTCGAATGAACCAGCAAGATCGTTCTGTCCAATGTCAATTATATGAATTGCGTCCTTGAAGGCATCTTCATCGACAAAATCTTTGTAGCCTAAAATGAAAGCAAGAGAAGCAAAAAGAGAACTGAACTCTATTTGGCATTTAAATTCTTCTTGGAAGGAGCATATAACAGTAGTTTATTATTCTTTAACAAAGTACCTTTTGAAAATAGCTCAGGGGAGCGAGCTCGGAATCGAAGAAACTGAAGAATTTGAACGTCTAAACTGAAAGGCTTATATCTAGGTTGAGTGGCAGCACCGCTAAAAGCAAAATTAACTCCATTTCTGAAATCTGGACCCAATGGTTCTAGATAAGGGGTCAAGTAACTCGTATTCAAACTTTCGCCTGCAGTATACACAGAATATAATGGCGACAGAGGAGCTTGTTTGGTCAGTTGTTCTCCAAAAACATGGGGCCAGTCTAGTTTCTAGCCTCTGCATATTCCAAAAAGAAAAAAAAGGTTCAAGAGGCTGTGTGTATTCGGGATTGTGGTAGCTTTTATCATAACAGTTTAAAAAATATATATAAATTATAGTATTTTTGGTATCAAGATTTCAAGAAAGAGTTTTCAAGAATATACAAAATGATAGTTTATATTAATTAATCAAATGCTATCAGAGCAAAACACAATTTCAACCATATTTCAGCACGCTACTAAACAGATCCACAGTAGCCACAGAATGATGAACAAAAGAAATTTTATGTCTGGTGTCATGAAGATGATAATTCTCTGATTAGTACTGTTTAGAGGTTGTGGAGGCAAGTTCAGAATGCACAAAATCCATGGTCTTTATGAACTTGGTCCTGATTATAAAATGTTTGGAGTACTAATGTCCAAAATCCGTGCATTGGATGGCAATTTTGATGCGGCATGTTAGCATTATTCTACGTAACATTCTGAAAGAAGCAGAAACTCGTCAGTAGTAAGGAAAGATGGTTAACAGATACAAAGGATCCTGTTGGACTTACACAAGAGATCAATGACCAATCGTCCATCGCATAATCGGCCTGTTGGCTGATTAAAGTATGAGCGTCCATTGGGAACTCCAAACATCAAACCAAGACCAGAATAATAAGCACCAGTATCCGAATTGGAGTCGCCAAAAATGAATATTACTGGATTTCTGCTGCACTGGCAATTAATCAGAAGGGGGAAGAAGAAACACAGAATCATAGTGGGCGTGAAGGAAAAAGGATGTAGGATTTTTATTAGACTTGCACTCATTTTGATCTGTTTTGCTTAGAATGGCTAAAAATGCTCCGTATTTATGTGTTTTCTGAAGTGAAGTTGATCTAGGCATGGAAAACTACGCATGGGGTGAGAATTTGGACGCAGTTTCTAAATCCTGCACCGAAACAGAAGCATGGCATGTTAAGACAAAGACACTAATAGTAAAGTATTACAAGGACATGATTCATATTTCTTGGTTTACTTGATGAGTGATTCTTATTACTTGAAATCAGACCCGTGATGAAAACCCGTGATAACCGACCTCTAACAAGTTGAGGGAGGGGGATGACCTGATTATCAGTGTTTTTGGTTTGTACCTTTTTGTTCTCTAGTAAATTTGTAGGTGATCGAGGGGGGTTTTCAATGAAATTTTTTTAAATAATAAGATTAATAATTTCTTTTTTTCTAGTTTTTTAGTTAGTTATTTTTTTTTTATTCCAAGTTTATATATGTTTATTTTATTTATTTATTTAATAAGTTGTGAGTTTTTTATAAAGAGAAACAACTTAAAAAGAATATTCAATAATAAAATTATAAATTATAATTCTTATGTGATCTATTTTTGTTTTAAATTCATGAGTTATTTATCAAAGTTTTGTTTATTTAATGACCAGAATTAGACTAGGATATATAGCTCAAGGTATAAAACAAAAATTCAAGTTAATCCCATCATGTTTTATTCAATCAATTTAATAATAACAAGTTTTATTTTTTTCGACATCAAATAGTGGTGACAATATAAAATCAACCAAACCTTTTTCTCATGCTTTAAACATATCTTAAAACCATTCTTTTCTTAAAACATTAGAACTTTTTATCTAAATACTTCTTAATTTTTTATTAAAGTCATCACAATATTCAAAATCTTTTTCTATACCTTTATGATTGAAATTTTTATATTAATGAAATCTCTCATCTCTTCAGTTTATAGGTTGGTGAGATCTATCACCTTGGTTGATTGATGTATAATCAAGATCTTTAACTTCTACATCTTGGTTCTTGTTAATAAATTCATTTTAAGATGGGGTAAAATGTTTTTATGATCTTATGATAATAGAACCATTTCAAATTGACTCTTTTCATAAACTAGCAATTGTGATCACTTCTCTCTATTTTATTAAAAATTTCACCAAATCTCATATGTTACATAGCTTACAACTTAAACAATAAGTTTTTTTTTTTTTTGTTATAGGTGATGATCTGTTTTTGAAAGACATTATTGAAATTTAAAATTTCATATTAATAGTAATAAAATATATCATCATACACATTCTTATGTGTTTATATTTAATAAGATATCACTCCACTCTGTTTCACTTAATTATATCTTCTCACAATAAAGTGTTTATTTTTTTCATTTTACGTTTCATGCTCTCTTTTCTTAGTTTTTTAAAGAACTAATTGCAAAAATAAAAAATAAAAAAATCACAACCTTATAACAATTAACCATATCTTTTGAGAATCACAACAATCAATAAATATAATAAAGATAATGATATGAATTTACAACAAGAACAACAATAGCAAATGAAATGGCAATGAATATATCAATAAACACAAAAAAAAATACGAAAACAAAAATGAATGCAAGAAAGACTCTAATAATTTGAAATCATAATAGATTATATTGACTTGAAATAATAATAACAAATAAATAGAATTAATCGATAATACATATTGATTTCAATAAACATTAAGTTGTAATTTTCTCAAATAACCTAAAATCAATATCAAGCTCACAATAACCACAATCTAATATGAATTAAAATGTTTTTTATTCGTCAATTCTTTTTTTTTTTTGTAAACCTAATCTATAATAGAATAAACACTACAACAGAATAAAACAACTTGTGATTTTAACTTTTTTTTCTTCTCCAATACTTTTTGGCAATAGCCTTTTTGAACATGAACTTTTTTATATGTAATATTTTCAAAAAAAAATCAAGACCGAGAAAAAACAAACAAATAACATTGAAATTTAAAAATAAATAAATAGATAGAAAGATAAAATTTTATTTTAGAGTTTTACTTTGATACCAATTAATATGAGTGTAGAGGATAAGAATCCTTCAACCTATACACAAGAAAAAACAACCTAAAAAACCTACAATCAAATTATCATAGAAAAATAAATAATTGTGCATCAAAGTTATTTAATAAAAAAAAGAATATGAATTATTAACGAATTATGTATTGAAAATATAGGGAAAAAATCACAAAAATAGTGAATTTTTTATAAATCTAAAATTTTTTTGATGAAAAATCTAAAGCATAAACAACCTTACATGTACACATAATATTATTTGAAATAAACTAAGGTTAACATGTTTGACCCTTTAAATAGGGTATTTATAGTTTACAAAGCAAATAAACCTTAATGGGTTAATGAGCTAAACTAAAACCTAATTAAGATTAAAATCCTAAGTTTGTAAAATAAATAATTCAAGTCTACATAAACTAATAAGTTGTCGTACTCCCAAAAAGAATGTCAAAACCTTCCACCCTTGCATATGTGAGGGTTGCTGGCTTATGTGTAGTAAAGGGCTGCCGACTTGGCAACCAGGATTAGAATCCAAGCAAATAATGCTCAGGAGGCGAGCTTTTAATGTGCTTGAAAAAAATTGAAAAAGTTGCTGACTATGAATCCTTAATCAACATGGAAACTTTGACGATTAATTTCTCTCTTTGCTGCCAATTTGTCCTTATTAAATATGGAAAAACTACCACCAATAAAATGGGATTTTTTTTTTTTATAAATCCATAAATTAAAAGAAAAATAATCCTAAACTAACTAGAAAAATAATATAATTCTCACATAATAATTTTTAAATTTTACTATAAAACCTTCCGAAACTTTAATTATTACTAAATTTTAACCTTATAAAACAAATAAAAACCTTTAAAATCTTCTCATAAAATTTTAGAATAATTTATCAGTTAAATTAAAAGTTATACTTATTAATCAAAATTATCTATTAAAAAAATTTAAACCTCAAAACCCTTTATTTATCTTCTTATCTTTTGACATTCTAATTAACTTAATTAACATCTTTAATAAATTGTTTCATGGTGTTTGTTGGTTCTCATTATAACATTTTAGGATAGTTATTACAAAGATCTTGATCATGTTTATGATGAGATATGCATGAATTGATATCTTTTATTAATTTATAATATTTATTTTGATAATAATATTATATACAATGATATAATGATAGTGATAATATCATTAATAGTTTCCTCACTAATGATTTAGAGATTTAGTGTAAAGAAAATATGGAATATGCTTGACAAAAAAAAATTATTAATTTAAATTATGTTAATATTTTATATTATAAGTTTATTGATATCATATAAGTAGATGTTTTCAAAGGCTATGTGAATACAATTTATATTAATAAAATAAGTTTGAGGTTTGTAATATATTACTATAAAAACCATCGAAAGTTGAAATAATTTGTTAATTGTTGTTTCTTATATAAATTTTAAGATTAAAAGAACAAAGTTAATGTTTAAAATTATTACACATTAAAAGTGATTGAAAAAAAAAAGAGGTTAAAGAGTCTTGATTGAATATAAATAGAGTCTAGTTAGGAGTAATTTAAATATGATGATGAGTTTTTTTAACAGGAGGAGACTAATACAAAAGTTTTTTTTCTAAATTAAAAACATTTTTTATTTTTTATATTTAGTTTAAAAAATTAAATAATATGTTTAATAATTTTATTTTTGTAGTTTGTTACCTTTTCCTTTATTTTTTTGGTTTTATAATTTGTTTAGTTTAGTTTCTTGGGTTTATTTAATAAATTATAAACTTGATAGAGAATCAAATTACTTAAAAGAAAATATTTTATAATAAAATTATGAATTAAAATCGTTATATGATTTTTTTAAAAATCTTATATATTTTTACAATTGTTATTTTTCTTATATTATTCATGTTTTTTATATTCTTAAAACTAAATTTATCATAACCACCAAAAAGAACTATAACTGACTAGCTCATTAATTGTTAGGACATTGGCATCGAAATGAAAAAAAAAAGATAAATAACAATATTCCAATAATTATTAAAAGTACCAAGACAGGCATAGAAAAAATAGTGATTTTTCTTACCAAAATATAGAAACAAGTAGCAGTTCCTTTTCCACTCTTCCCTTCACACGTGTGCTTACTGTCCACGGTTTCTGGCCAAGGCATTGGAAACCCCAATTATTACAAAAAGGCCGAAATGGTGACAGATGGCAGTACTTTATATATCCACGTGAACCCAATTTTCCATAAACCTCGCCAAGAACAACCTTGGCCACAAGAGAACTAAAATGGGGGCAAACGATCTATTTTTCCTGTAATGAACACCAGCAAAAGAAAGTTAATGGCAAAGAAATCACACTCATTAAGATCATATGATTGAGTCAACAATGATGAAGATGTGGGGGCATTTGAAATACAATTTCAAATGGTGTTTTTTTTTTTAAATAATTTTTTATATATATTTTTGAATAATTTAGATGTTTTAATATTAAAAATAATTTTTTAAAATAAAATAATTATTTTAATAAATTTTTAAATAAAAAATATATTAAAAAACAATCACTATTATATTTTTAAATTCATGTACATCACTTCTTTTTAAGAGTATTTGAGAGTATAGCAATGATTATTTTTTGAAATATTTTTTACTTGAAAATAAATTAAAATTATTTTTATTTTAAAAAATTATTTTTAACATCAATATGTTAAAACAATTTCATAATATAAGAAAATAATTTAAAAAAAAAATTAAAATATAAAAAAATAAAAAACTAAACAAGGTTTTCATATAACTAGTTTCAAATTAAGTACAGTAAACAACTTGAAACAACTTATAGTAATTCTAATGAAGTGTCAATCAATAATTAATAATACTTATTGAACAATTACTAGAAGAACGTAAAAGGAGCGAGATGAAGTGTCTGTTTGGAAGTGTTTTTTAAAAGTATTTTTTAAAAAAATTAAATTAATTTTTTTTTATTTTAAATTAATATATTTTTAATATTTTTATATCATTTTAATATATTAATCTCAAAAATAACTTCTTAAAAATAAAAAATATTATTAATATTTTTTTAAATAAAAAAAACTTTAAAAAATAATCATAACTATCACTCCCA